CGGGGGGTGGCTCTGCAGGCTGCCAGGAGCCCAGCAGAGCCCCAGCCCAGCAGCACTGGCCAGGAGGAGAGCCTGCCCTTCGTGCTGGACCTGCAGAGCTTGCCGGGCCTGGCCAATGTGGACCTGAGCGCCCAGAACCCCAACATCCAGGTGGGGAGCAGGTCTGAGTGGGCTATGGGGGGATGTGGGTGAGTGCCGTGTGTGCTCCCCAGGCTCATTTGCTTCCCTAAAGAATAAAGTTCTTGGGAGCGGAGTCCATGTGGCTGCTGCTGTCTCTCTTTCTGGTAACTACCAGATGCGAATAGCTGGCACAGACAAGCTCCTTGCAAGAGGAATTTACTCATGGCCTTTTCCCTGTTCCCCCACTCCCCCACAGGCCCTCTCCATAGAGCAGGGGCAAATGCATCTATGGGGGTGACCTCTCAATTTCTGAAGGTGGTCCCTATGGGTGACCAATAGCCCTCCCTGTGCCTCCTGCTCTGCCCCTGCTCAGTCCCTCCAGATGAGTCAACACCTCTCATCATCTACATGGTCATGTAGTCTAAAGCATCTCTGGCCTCTCAGGCTTGGAAGCAGTGCGTGGGCTGGCAGGTCTGTCCTGGGGCTATGCCTGGCTTACTGCACTGCCTCATGTCTGGCCTCCAGGTGACCATCGAAGTTGTGGCTGATCCTCAGGCTGAGATGGAGATGGACTTGTTGAAGGAGACAAGCAATGACTGGTCCCTGACATCCCCTGAGTGGTTGTCCCACAAGGATCTCTTCTGGCCCCTCTTCTGGGAATACACTGACCCTGCTGAAGAGGAGGAGGATGAAGAAGAGGATGACGATGACAACCTGAATGTAGGGGACAAGGAGGATGAAGAGGAGGAAGATTACACAGCAGAGTATGAGGAGGAGGAGTCCATGCTCAGTGGAGTGGGAGGTGACTGGGACCAGCGGTGGCCCAGGCAGAAGAACTGGATCTTTAAGGAAAAATATGATTACGGTGAGTCCTCTGGGGCATGTGTGCTGCCCTGCAGACCAGCACTGCCCTCCCCTGCCCTACCTGACCCACAGCCCTGCCTTCCTGCAGGGGGAGTAGCCCTGCACCAGGGATCCCAGCACGCTGGTGCTCAGCTCTTGCTTAAAAAATAAGCAACCGTGCCGTAAAGCAAGGCCAGCACCCAGCTGGGGCTGCCAGCGGTCAGGCACGCCAGTGTCCCAGTGGAAATTGCACTTGCATGTAGTCAGACTGGAGCATGGACTCTAGCAAAGGCATGATCAGATGAGACATACAGTGTAAACGGCCACTGCTTCTGCCATTGACTCAGGCCCCTGTGGTGACACTAGTGCCAGAAGCTTTTGCCACAGACCTGAGCACTCCCCAGGAGAGGAGCTGCAGAGGGCTAGGTCTTAGTTGGTTGCTGGCTACCCTGCTGCTAAGGCTTTGCTGAGGTTCCCCACTCTCTGCCTCTCCTCTGCTGTGTACAGACTATGAAGATGAGGAGGAGTGGAGTCCATGGTCCCCTTGCAGCATCACCTGTGGCAGTGGCAACCAGAAGAGGACCCGGTCCTGTGGCTACGCCTGCACAGCGACAGAGTCAAGGACCTGCGACCTGCCGCGCTGCCCTGGTGAGCCCCAGGCCCCACCAGTGCTTGGGCAGCGTCTGACCTGATGTGGACCAGTCCCTCGCTGCTGCAGGCTGGGCTTTGCTCATGCTTCAAGAGCTAGTTATGTTTAATGTGATCTGGGCTAATGACCAGAGGGTTTTTTTTCCACGAAGAAGCTGACGGGGCTTCATGGCTCTCCAGTAAGTTACATAGCGTCCAAGGGTGGTAGAGCTGGCATCCAGCTCAGTGTGCAACTCCTTGCACCTCTCTGGGAACTTGAAATCCTCACCTGAGGCATACTGAGAGCTCCATCCACGGGAGTTTGCATAACCCACAGCTTTGGGCAGGTCTCTCCTGTGTGTCACCGAAGCAGTGGTGGGAGGAGGGTTGGAAGATGGATGGTGTCTGGTTACCTTACAGAGGCAAAAACTCAACACTCCTCCTGGTGTTCAGCCTTGCTCTTTGTTTGTTTGTTTGTTTTTTCCCTCAAGGAGCAGAGGGGGAAATGGTCTTCCCCACAGAGGAGGTGCCTTTCAAAAGTGACAACACCACAGAGCTCTTCAACTCAGGTCAGCCTCTGCCTTGCACTGGGGGCTTCAGTGCCAGACCTCACAGGGGATGTAGCTCCCTGGTGGGGAGGGGTCTGCCAAGGGCTCCCAGATCTGGTATCCAGACCTAAGCCACCCAAACCAGTGCCATGTGCAGGCTTTGGCAGTCATCCTGGGAAACCCAGGTCCTCCCACAGCCCTGGTACAAGACAGTCTTGCTTTATGGTGCAGTGGCTGGAGCCAGCTTGCTGCATGTCCTCTCCCATGGCCCCTGTAGTGATGGGTGCCCTGGGCAGAGCCCCTGCAATGGGCAGCTCTGCCCCAGCACAAAACCCCTTCCCTGTCACTGGCTCGGGGATGGAGCCTGGCTCCAGCTCATGCCAGGAGCCTGGCTGCTCCTGCCTGGTGGTTGCAGGCTCTGCCTGTGGTCTGGTGAGGCTGCGGGCAGATGGGTAAAGCTGGGTGCAGGCTGCATGTGCCCTCACCCTTTTGGTGCCCTCCCCCCCCAGAGGTGGACAGCTGTGAGAAGTGGCTGAACTGCAAGAGTGACTTCCTCACGAAGTACCTGAGCAAGGTGCTGACGGACCTGCCCAGCTGCCCCTGCTCCTACCCGCTGGAGGCCGTCTACAGCGCCGTCAACCTGCGGGATGAGCAGCAGGGCAAGAGCTTCCGATGGCGGGATGCCAGCGGCCCCAAGGAGCGCCTGGACATCTATAAGCCAACGGCGCGTTTCTGCCTGCGCTCCATGCTCTCCCTCGACAGCACCACCCTGGCTGCCCAGCACTGCTGCTACGATGAGCACACCCACCTCATCACCCGTGGAAAGGGGGCTGGCGTCCCCAACCTCATTAGCACCGAGTTCTCCCCAGAGCTGCACTACAAGGTGGACATGCTGCCCTGGATCCTCTGCAAGGGGGACTGGAGCCGCTACCACGCTGTCCGGCCCCCCAACAACGGGCGGCAGTGCGCAGACAACCCCGCCGAGGAGGAGTACCTCTCCCAGCTGCAGGAGGCCAAGGAGTACTAGCTGTGGCCACGCTCAGAGGAGCCGGGGCCACTGCTGGCTCCTACCCTGGCCCAGCCTGGTGAAGCCCCAGCCCTGCTCATGGGCTCCTTGCTGGCACCGGGCAGAGTGGGGAGGATACAGCATCCCTCTTGTCCTCTCAGAGGGGCGCCTTGGCCTCCCTCGGATTTCTGAGGGTGCTGGAGGTTATTGCAGTGCAGTCCCTGCCGTGCCACCCGCAGTCGTCCTGCATCCCGGGGTGCCTGGGCTGGCACATGGGGAGCTGCAGAGGATGGGAGGTGTAAAGGGAATGGGGGCTGCTCCCATCTGCTGTGATCTTTCACTGTGATCTTTCAATGCAACCTGAAAGCTGAGCGTCTGCAGGGTGAAATGTCCTCATTTCCTGCTGGCTCCACAGCAGATCTGAGGAGCTGGCCTGCCGCAGGCAGAGCTGTCTGCTCCTACCTGTACACCGGCCCCAGCACATGCTGGGCTACTTCTGAAACAGGGGTTGGAAGCTCCTAGGGAAGGGCAGGATTGTCCCAGCTACATGTACAGAGGTACAGAGCATGGCCAACCTTCTTGGGTTTTTGCATGCTTGGTTGGGAAGGAGCAGGGAGCAGGCCCTGCTCTGTGCTGTGTCTGCCCAGGTCCCCAGTAAGAGGCAGGTCATGGGCACACCCTGCACTCCTCAGTCTGGCTGCCTGGGCACACAAGCAAGTGTGGATCTAAAGGCAAAAGAAGCCCACCTGATAATAATGTCAACACATGGTGTCTGCAAATCATGCATCATTATGCTCTCCATTAGCACTTTGGTCTTGCCTGGGTTTTATTCAGCTTTTCACCGGTCCATGGCAGTTTTGGGAGCATATTTTGGTAGCTCCCAAGTTTCCCACAGAG